CATTACCCATTTAAGCCGTCTCCAGCCATTATTAACTTAGAAATGTGTTTTTGATGAGATTAAATTACTATATAATTTTTCCATCTATCTTAAATAATCAATAGAGGAGAATCTGGAAACAATTATTACATAAAAGGGTGAGTTGAGAGAATGAAGAAGTTTTTTCTGAGCATTTCCTTAAGCTTATCAGTTCCTAAAAAGCATAAGAGTGTAAAAGGTAGGCCTTTGATAAACCATATTATTCATAAATGTTGCAACAGAATTAGTAAACTTCCTGAGACTTCATATTTATTGACTCAGTAGACTAATAATATATCTTCAGTTTAAGAAGCTAGTTTTATATTGTAAAAACAGTCATATAAGAAATATTTATGGTTTTCTATGTTACTATTTTGGTACATACAATGTTTTGGACTATGCTCTTCTTCAGGTATTTGGGACATTACCCAAAAAAGGGCATTGATTGAAACCATTTATGTATCAAAGTGATTGTATACAAAATATAAATTTATTTTTAGTTTTTGGTAACGTTTTCTTATCAAAAGAGCAAAACAATAGAGGATGAAGAGAAGCTAGATTAGTTTCTGACCCTCCTGGGGTTATCTCCAAAACACCAGTGAAGATTGTTCAAACACATATTATACTTTTCATCTATCTCTCTAGAAAAACATGATTTATGCATTGTTATATGTAATAAATATGTTCAGTCTTTAATAAAGAATCTAGTGAACAAGCTTTTATATTTTAGTTTTTTGTTACATAAAATCATTTTCATTATTATTTGTTTTTCCTATTAATCCTAAAGAATCCAGTTCTCTAAAAAAAATTATTTTCTACATTAGTAAGTTTAATTTTTTGATTAAATAGTTGAATATTTTTTCATAAGTTTTTTTATTATTTGTGTTTAAGCATAAAGCTACATATTTTATTTTAAATTAATAAATGCATATGGATGACATGGAGTAATTTTCCACATCTCTAAAAACCATTGTTGTAAAGGAATTAAAGTAATGTGTTTCTGCTGTTTCAGGTACTTATGCCAAACAATCATGGAATGACAATGTCACAAAACATATTACATGGACAACAGCAACTGCAAAACAACTGTACAAATCCAACAGTTAACAACCAAGATTGGGAAAAAGAATATTGTGGTAATGACTATGTTGTTTCCAACTGCAGGTACATATGGTTTTGGCATTTTAAATTATTTTTTTATTCTAATTTTGGAGTTGACCTCCAACTCATGCAAAAAAACTGCTATATAGCCAACATTCTTGTTCAACATGAGATAGTTAAAAACTAAATTTATCAAGCAGGAATTTCTATTAAATGTTGTTGTTGACAATATATCTTCACCTAAAACAATATGACTGTATTAAAAGTATTAGCACCTTATTTATCATCTCTAATTATTAGGACTTTTTTTGATCCAAACAAATATTTATTTAGTTTGATCTGTTTAACTTGGCAAAAGTTCAGCAAAATTTGATAACTTCACCAGCTATATTGCCAGATTATTAGATTGTTTCTTTATATAAAATTACAATTAGTTAGTATAATTCAAGACAAATTAATTTATTATATGGAGTACTTTCAATCAGTATATTAATATGCAGTTACATAAACAGTCAATCTGAGATTATATCTCTTCAATTAATAACAATATGTTTATAAATTTTGTTTAATACAAACTTGAGTTCATTATGAGACATTAATTTCTATTAATGTAAATAAAATAATAACCTATATTTTCAAAATGGATCTTTATTAGCTCAATATTTCACTATTACATCTTCATCAGGAACTATCAATATCCTACAAGTTCACTAATCCAGTTGAAACTTAATTGGAACACCATAATCAGTTAATTTAACATTGATACATGTATCTAAAATGTTTGGCTCATATTAGAATAATATCAAACATTCTTCAATTTAAATTGTTCAAACAAACCAAACTGATAATGTTAACTAAATAATATGTATAAATCAACAGGTGAATTATTAAAATCATAAGATTTAGAATAGCATACATTAAATATATAAAATACTTCTTCATACTTGTATCTATAAGTATTATTTCATCCTATTATATCAATAAATATACAAAAAATTTCAAAAAATATATTTGAACCATTATGAAAGTCTGTAGAGACTTCGTCAAAGTTCAAACATGCTAAAATCTTAAGAATGCTATTAACATTTGTTCACTAGAGGCCAACCTTTATTTTTTTAAAATGGATTTTTTTATCTTTTGGTTAAGAAAACTATGACATTTAGATAAGACATTGGTATCTGGTAAGGTGTTATCTACTTGTGGTATCCTGTGTTCTTTTCCATAATGCTCAGCAATAGCATTGCTCCTATTTAGGTTTTGGATGTCACATACATGTTCAGGTATTCTATCATGTATGGGTTGACAAGTTTCTTCTAAATATATACTAGAGCTGCAGGGTGATGATGTGAGTGGAAATGCAAACAAAAGGCTTTAGTAGATGACTTGCTGAAAATACCTGTAGTGATTTTCACAATCTTAACAAGAATGATAATATCTAAAAATTTTAAATTTCTACCTGGTATAGCATAAGCAAGTGTAAATTTTATAAATGAATGAACTGTATTCAAGAACTTGTGGAAACTAATAAGAGGCTCTAAATTAGTGTTCCACACTCCAAATATGTCGTCTATATATCTGTATCAGATCAATGAGCCTATATTTCCTCCTATTTTTCAAAAATTAAGTGCTTTCAGTTCAAGTACCTGCATAAATATTACAGCCAAGATTACTGCTACTCCATACCCCATAGCTATTGATTTCATTTTTTGTAAAATTTCCCATTAAATCTTACATACCCATTGCCTAACATAAACCTTAGAACTTCTAACCAATAGGTTGAAATATTTAAAAGTTCCAAGTCATCTCTATTTTCTCTTATCACGGTCATAATACAATCTACACCTTCCTCGATCAGGACACGTGGATATGATTGAGCAACATCCATTAAACCAGAATAGTATTATCATTAAGGAGGTGCTAGTCATTATGTAACTGTTCAAGAAAATGATATGAGCAGGGAATAAGTCAGTAATAGGTGCAACAGTCTATTTAAAACCCATAATATACTTTCCATCAGAGATTCGCTAGCATATGCTATGGATATCAGGGGATGGCCGTATAATTCAGGGACTTGACTGTTATGTGGTTTTAAACTATTCACTAGTTGTGGAGCTACATAAGTATCTTTATTCAATTCATTT